ATTATGTGGTGATTTTTGAGGTGTTTTGTGGTATTTTGCAATGGTTTTGTGGTGACGTTGTCGGTGGTCAAATATTTATAGAGTATATGTCAAATGCTATGTTGATATCTGGTAGTAGTGCCAATGGTGGTAGTAGGCAACAGGTCATTATGTGTAGGTCACAAATAATTGTATACACATCACAGATCAAATAGTACTAGTCACAATCATTCCATTAGTCACAATCATATTATATAGGTCACAGATCATGTTTGTAAGTCATGGGTTACATGTCATTGTAGATAGGTCACATATCAAACACAACTGGCCACAGATCATGTTTGTAGTTCACATGTCACAATCCAGTAGTGATAGGTCACAGGTCATTGTGCATAGGCCACAGATAAAACATGTTACAAATAAAATAGAGCTGGTCAAGGGTTACACTCTACAGGTCACACTTCGCTGGTCGCAGATCATATTGTATAGGTCACATATCAATGTCAACATATCATAGATCAAATAGAATTGATCACATATTATTGATTTATGTCCACAGGTCACATGTTATAGTTCATAGGTCACAAGTCTAATATCAACATTCAAAGGTCAGATATCAATGCCAAACATTTACATGTCTTTTTGCATAGATAACAAATCAATGTCTACAAGTCACATATCGAAGAGAAACTGGTCATAGGCCATTGAATTAATCTATATCATAGATAACAGATCCATGCCAAAATGTCACAAATCCTAGAGAACTTGTCAAATACCATTGGATCAACATCATAGGTAATAGTTTATATGTATTTTAATCCACACAGCAAAAAAATTTACAAATTCACACTGAATTTGATGATATGTCCAACATTGGAATCAAATTTACACTCCATCAACCCCAGTCGATTGTCCAAATTGAAGTTTAATTAGATAATTCGTCAATTTTTATCGATATTTTATTAAATTAAAAATCCAAAAAAGTTACTGTACTCATGAATCCCAAATCGAGGTGGATGTCGATCACTGTGAGACGAGGTAGCGATGGGTAGATGCCAATAACTATGAGAAGAGATGGTGGTGGGTAGATGTCAATGATTGTGAGAGGGGATGGTGGTAGGTGGATACCAATGACTGAGAAAGAGACTGGAGAGAGAGAAATATATAATAGATTCTTTTATATATTATATTTATTAATTACCCTATGAGTTTTGAAATTTTAAAACCTTTTTCTTAAAATTGAACTGTGCTATAGTTAGCGCCTCAGTTATGTATTCTTCCCTTTTAAAATCGAGAAACTATTGAAATATTAGATGAAAAGCATTTTGAAAGTAAAAAATAAGGTGTAAAAATTGTGAAACGAAAGGTATTTTAAAAGGTAAAGTAAGGGGTGAGCTTACTTGTCAAGCACTAGCTAAATAGCCTGCTGGGCCAAGTCGGGCCCTGAGGTGGGTAAGCCAAGCTGTCTCAACTTGGCCCATTAACATCCCTAGAGTCAGATTTTAAGTGTATCTTCAATCGTGGTGTAAAATATATTTAAATTGTGATTTAGATCTCTTAAGTGGTCAGAAACCTCTTCAATGGAAAGATACAAGAAATGTAAAAAAAAGTTGTAAATTTGCATCCTTTCTTACGTCCATAAGAGGAAAATTTAAATCTAAATCTTTCCATTAGAGAAAATTTGAATTTAGATCCACCAAAATGTAAATGAGGATACGAAAGTGATTTTGGAGATATCAGTTTATATCCAATTTTACACCATTATTGAAGATGTTCTAACTATCGTAATCTCTCTTATTTTAAGTTTTTTTTTTTACCATGTTTAATTATATTCTAGCCAATGAAATTCCACCATCATACTCTAGTACGAACGGGGATGCAAACTGTAGATTGTTGTTGGAATACACTTGCACCAAACATCAGCAGATTCCAGCCTTCCAGCATCACGTGTGCACCAGATTGTAGAGACTTCCATCTTAACATATCAGATTCCAAACGATTGTGTCCAACTGTCTTAGTTGTTAGTTAGTTAGTGATTAGTTTGTTAATTAGCTAATTAGTTTAGCCATTTTACTCTATCAATACAGCACCATGTATGCATTCTTAGTCTATTGGATTGTCCTCCAATCCCTCCTTCCATGAAGGTTTCATTTCCTCCTATTATGGAATGTCTTCCTCCTTTTATGGAGTTGTTCATTTCATCCTTTCATGGAGTGTAATTCATCTTCTCCTTCATGGAGTTTAATACATTGTTTTGTCATTCAATAAATTCTAATAATTGTCGTGACAATCTTTAGGCAGACTCAAACTCAACGTGGATGCTGCTGTTCGGAGCAATGACAATACGATAGGAGTGTGTCTGGTTTCCCGGGAAGGCAATAGTGTTGCCCACGCTCTTGTCCTACGCACCTTTTCTTATCCTTTTGGTTTTGCGTGGACTGGGGAGACCTCAAGCTTCATTGCTGATCTTGTATCAATTATAATAGGGACATTCAACACCACATAAAAGGGAAACGAGTTGCAGCATATGGAACCTCATAGTGCATGTAAATGATCAAAAATACATCATATTCTATATATTTTTGGGAAATATATTTAGTGGGGTTATAAATACAGCAGAATCATAAAGTAGTTTGATAAGAAAAAATTGATTTTCATACGATATTCTGACCAGCTGGAGACTTTTTGAGCAACAGATTTTCCCTATGTACTGTGATAGTGTGATATAATGTTGTGATAGAGCCTATGACCTTTGGAGCAGAAAATAATCCTCCCTTCCATGTTTCATTGGGTAGCATTTTTCACATCAAACTCCATATTGAATAGAGGATGCTAATCAAAAGCCATGGCTCTCATCAAAGTGCATAAATCGGGTTTACTTCTGAATCAGTGTCGGGATGATGCATTGAATAATAAGTTCCACTCCTCGAATACTTCTCTTTCTTTCTTACTCTTCGTGTCCTTCTGGATTTCACCACGTAATATGTCATGGCACTTAGAACACCAGCCATTGTAACCCCACCTATAACCGTGACAAGAATCGCAGCCCACTTATTGCGGCGCCCTACGACAATATAAGATGAAGCAATAAAAGCCACGGTGGTGCAAACGGAGGCCAACCACATCAACTTGTTGATCACCTCTACAACTCGTCTCTCGGATGTTATCTCACCTCGGACCACCGTAATTTGTACAACCACAACAGCCAAGGAAGTGAAGAGTGCAACGGCATTTGAAATGAAGAATACCTTGAAAGATGGACTGTGTACCATCACTGCCATTCCGTTGTCATCGTCACCTCCTGGAACCGTGAAAATAGCTGCAAAGGCGACTGTTGCGAAGAGGACAGCCACCACGGTCACTGAATTAGTAGCATTATTGATTCCTTCTCGGTGGAGCTTCCGGAGCTCTTTTGCTATGCCGTTCACATTTTTGTTAGTTTTACGCACTTGTTCGAGCTGTGAATGGACATCTTTCTTGATTTCCGAAACAGTTTTCCGAAGCTCGTCCCGAGGCTGATTCAGTTCATTGGCTGTGACAGCACCATAACGAGTCAAGCACTCCTTCATTTCTACAGTTTCTTCTGACAGAGGGAGTCCTTCAGCTATATCGAGGGCAGTTTTGCGATCTCTTGTCAATGCATTGACATTTGTGTCCCGGAGAAGTAAGAGTTCATTCACGATCTGCGATGGTTTTGAGGGATCAAAACAAAATCACATCACAAACACCAAAACAAGTTTTCTTGGTTGGTCGGATGAAACTAAGCACCCGTTTG